TCTCTGCCTCTCTGCCTCTCTGCCTCTCTGCCTCTCTGCCTCTCTGCCTCTCTGCCTCTCTGCCTCTGCCTCCCAAGTGCTAGAGTAGTAATCTTTTATCTGTCTCATTCACAACTATATTCCCAGAGCATAAAACAGTGCATGACCTAAAGTAAAGAAATATTTTTTCCAGTGGACCAACACAAGCATACCTACATTTTTATATTGATACATAATCCTAAATTAACACAAAATAAAGCCAGAGGCTTTATCGTAATCCACAGCCCTACAACATCTGATCTTCTGTGACTTCACTTCCTACTACTGTGTTTCTGAAATGTACCATTTAACAAGATTAGTCTTCCCATTGCTCACAGAGCATGCTGCACACATTCCTGACCATGAATAAGGATATATTGCTAGGCATGGTGGCATAGAGCTGTAATCTTGCACATAGGAGTCTGAGGCAGGATGATCCCAATTCAAGGCCTGCCTGGGCTGGGAAAAAATGTTCATAGCCAACCTGCTCAACTTCATAAGATCCTATTACAAAATTAAAAGGTTTTAAAGTAAATTTTAAAGAAGGCTTAGGGATATAGCTCATTGGATGGGGTAGGCTCTTGCCTACCAGGCCTGAGACCCTAAATTCAATCCCCAGTACAGCAATAAAAGAAAAGAAGTAAGCAAAGAAGAAAGGAAATGGGAGAGAAAGTCAGAAAGACATCTAATGAGTGGCTGCCAATAGTTAAACAACAAAAAACCTGAAATACAATAAAAATGCATGAGTATATTACAATTAGGTCAAGTGGTGTGTAAAACTTTTAGTTGAGGTGTGTGTATATGTGTGTGTGACACACATATATAATTGTACTGGATTATGGGTAGCAATAAAAAAAAAAAGCTTGACTACAACTTTAGGACTTGTAAAAGGGAATAAGGGTGGTACCAACATCTACAACCCTACAGACCCATGAGTGGAGGAAGAAAGGAATCCGAGGACATTAGGAGACATAAAGCCCTTATACCCAGCAAGGAGGGGAGGGGCAGGAATAGCTGGAGAGTTAGTGGGAAGGGCTCATAGACACACTAACCTGCTCTCTCTGTTTCTTTCTCATCTGTTTCTCCCTCCCCTCATCCTGATTCATCCTTTCCACTTCAGTGTTGTTTTCTATCCATTTCTATCCTTGTTTCCATTTTTTTCAGTCTCGTTTACCACCCTGTTTCTGCATTTTTGTGTCTCCTACCCTCATCTCTCTGTCCCTCTGTCTCTATCTCCCTCCATTTTTCCCATTTGCAGGTGTAGCTCAGCAAGAAAACTGATGGAGTCCACCAGGGCCCATCAAATACTGAACTGGCCGATCCCCTAGGGTTGGGGGTAGCCCTTGCCCCTCAGTATGGCCAACACCACTGGAGAGCCCGAAGAGGTGAGCGGCGCTCTGTCCCTGCCATCAGCATCGGCTTATGTGAAACTAGTGCTGCTGGGACTGATCATGTGTGTAAGCCTGGCAGGCAATGCCATCTTGTCCCTGCTGGTGCTCAAGGAGCGTGCCCTGCACAAGGCTCCTTACTACTTTCTGCTGGACCTGTGCCTAGCCGATGGCATACGCTCTGCCATCTGCTTTCCCTTTGTACTGGCTTCTGTGCGCCATGGCTCCTCATGGACCTTCAGTGCACTCAGCTGTAAGATTGTGGCCTTTATGGCTGTGCTCTTTTGCTTCCATGCGGCCTTCATGCTGTTCTGCATCAGCGTCACCCGCTACATGGCCATCGCCCACCACCGCTTCTATGCTAAGCGCATGACACTCTGGACATGCGCAGCTGTCATCTGCATGGCCTGGACCTTGTCTGTGGCCATGGCTTTCCCACCTGTCTTTGATGTGGGCACCTACAAGTTTATCCGAGAGGAGGACCAGTGCATCTTTGAGCATCGCTACTTCAAAGCAAATGACACACTGGGCTTTATGCTTATGTTGGCTGTGCTCATGGCAGCCACACATGCTGTCTATGGCAAGCTGCTACTCTTCGAGTATCGTCACCGCAAGATGAAGCCAGTGCAGATGGTGCCAGCCATCAGCCAAAACTGGACATTCCATGGCCCTGGGGCTACTGGCCAGGCTGCTGCCAACTGGATCGCTGGCTTTGGCCGTGGGCCCATGCCGCCAACTCTGCTAGGTATCCGGCAGAATGGGCATGCAGCTAGCCGGCGGCTACTGGGCATGGACGAGGTCAAGGGTGAAAAGCAGCTGGGCCGAATGTTCTACGCGATTACACTGCTCTTCCTGCTCCTCTGGTCACCATACATTGTGGCCTGCTACTGGCGAGTGTTTGTGAAAGCCTGCGCTGTGCCCCACCGCTACCTGGCCACTGCTGTTTGGATGAGCTTCGCCCAGGCTGCCGTCAACCCAATCGTCTGCTTCCTGCTTAACAAGGACCTCAAGAAGTGCCTGAGGACTCATGCCCCTTGCTGGGGCACAGGAGGTGCCCCAGCTCCCAGAGAACCCTACTGTGTCATGTGAAGCAAGCCAGTAGGTGATAGGCAGGGAGAAAGTCATGATTACCATACTGGGGCCAGCAGCAGGGGAAGGGTGGGACCCATACAGAAGCCTTCTTTTTCGAGCTTCAGTCCAGGCTCTCAAACCATCCATAACTGAGGCCTTTTGCCAACACCTCCCTAGGGTTGGAAACATGATGAAGAACTGGAAAAGAGGCATTTCTAGTTTTGTGGGGCTTGTCCCGCAGCCTCCTCTACTTCTACAATCTCCTTTTCCCATGCCCTCCCTGCCTTCCCTTCCCTCTCCCCTCTCCTATCTTTCTAAAGTAACGATTCAGTAAATGAAAACAAACTGAAAATGCAGGGTTTTTAATAATAACAGCTGAGGAAACAGGCTTTCTTGCTTAAATGTCCCCCCCTTTTGACATTGTCAAGAAATGGGAAATTTCTCCTGTAAAATAGATTCCCAGAGATCTTATTGCCCCCTGGGTTCCCATTCACCCTCCCCTTCCAAATCTTTAGCAAGACTTGGATGTTTAGGAAATATTGGCTTAAGTCTTCAGACAAGAGGGACCAAATGGGGTGATGTATACCTTGGGAGCAAGGATGTTTAAATTGCTATGTTGTGTGCAATGTTGTTTTTGGCTAACCTTGAGCCAAAGCCCGATCTCCAATCCCTCCCTACCATGTCCAGACTTCACAAGTGTTTCTTGGGGCTGTTTGAGAAGCCAAGAGGATACAAAGAAAGGCCTCCATGATGTGCCCAGGATAGATGAAGAGCAGAATGGGGGATGGGCTCCTCAACCAGAGTATACCAAACTTAGCTACGTTAGCTACCCTTTTCTCCTAGAAATATATATCCACTTTAGTCCCCACTAGGGATGATGCGGGTATATGCTGACAGGGAAAATCATCCATGGAAGTTTAGGGAGATAGTTGAACTCTCCAGAGTAGCTGGAGTCCAGACCGTGGGGTCAGAGCTAAATTAAACTCCACAATTGTCTCTTGGGTTCACACTACTCCCCCTAAAATGAAAGTTCTTTGGGGACCTTGGTGACCAATAGTTATACAAACGTCAAGGCACTGTGGAATTGAGTCCATTCCTGCTTGAACTCTTTCTGTCCCTTCCTAGCCTCACAGTCCTTGATCTCCTTCTTGGTTGGGCCCCAAGAATCCTTCCCAGAAGTTTTTTCTTCATACACTCTTATCTATGCCCAAAATGGAGCAGACTACACCCAAATTTCAAAGATGGAAGGTCCCAAGCATCTTTTCCATGGACAAAGACCACTTTGGGCTTACTTAAAGGCCAGTTCTATAGACTGGTGAGCCAAGTTGGAACTCTTTGCCTAAGTTTGGGGCAGTGATCTCTCCACCCCCTTTCCTTCCTTATAAACTCCTGTCCTAAACTCCACCTCTACCCCAAGATAAGCCCTGAACTGAGGAAGTCTTGACCCAAAAGCAATGAAGGGGGCACTCTAGGCAGAAGAGATATTGATGACCCTGGTTGTGAAGTGGCCCTGAAAAAGCAAGCCAGAGGAGCTGAGAGGCTGGGAATGTGTGTTTGGGGTGGGGCTATTCTCTCAGTGATGATGATAGGAATGCCTTTCTGAGGGCTGGGGTGCAAAGACCAAGGCGGGAGGGCAAATAGGGTAGACTCAGGAGGGTTTTCCTCCATTTCCTTTTTCTAACTGCCTGGATTCATCATTGGATTTTGTAAATGGAAAAAGTGAAATGAACAATGTTATATTGGATGTTCTCTTTCTGTGTGTGTGTGTGTGTATGTGTGTGTGTGTTTGTGTGTGTGTGCACTCACACACACACATGGGCGCATGTCTGTGTCTATGTCTCCTATGTGTGTATGATCACATGGGGAGGTATGATTGAATGAGATAGCGTGTGTCTATGTGACTTTGTGTGGGTAAGAACTCCTAAGGAAAACTTGCCTGGTACACATATGTGAACAAATAGAGTACACACACAAGCACACACACACACACACACGATGGAGAGGAGACAAAAGTTAGTATGTGCCTGCAGCAGGAAACCGAGTGCTTAGGAGACGGAACTTGAAATTTTTTTATGTATGTATGTGTCAAGAGAGTCAACTCCCATCTCATAAGGCTGTCTGCCCTTGGCCCAGCTTCTGAGCACCAGGTAAGGAGAGAATACTTTAGAACCCCATCTCTTCCCAATGTCTGGAGATTCCGTCCTCACCTCGTATTTCTTAAATTGGATCACCATGGAAATAGGAACTGGGAAAGGAGGGGTAAACATGAAGGCAAATGGGGTTAATAAATGGACCCCTGTAATGTAATGGCTTTTAGAGGAACTCCTCAGCCTAAACTGCAAGTCCTTCTTAAGGTCCCACTGTATACAGTTGGGACTTTGTTCTGCTTTGACTAAATTCAGAAAGATAACACAAAGAAAAAGTTTGGGGATCTACCCAGCTGGCCTACTCCCTAGGCGCTCAATTAATTTACTATTTATTTACTTATTCCTTCAGGTGCACAGAATTGAGCTGACCCTATTCCTCAGTTCTTGGCACAGTGTATCATCATTGGTCCATGCAAGGTCCGTTTATTATTTCGCTTTGTCCCCTTCATCGCCCATCCCTGACCCCATCCTTTCCAATCCCACATAGGCACCACTCTTCTGTACTTAATGTGTGTCCTTCCAAACCACCGTTCATATGTTTATTTATTTATGTGTATCTGTGGAAAATATATGGTATTGATGTTTTAATTTACATAAACAGTATTGTACTATAAATCTTGTTCTGTTTCTTTTTTTCACTCAACATTCTGTTTTTGCGAAATCCAGCCATGTTGCTTGCTATACATAGATCAAACTCATCCTAGTAGTCCATCTAAAACATATATCACATCTTATCCATTCTCCTGGTGATGGATTCTGTGGTTCCTTCCCTCTGCTACCACAGCAAGGCTGCAATGGGCAATTATCTCCTCAGGAACGTCTAATTTAGAAGAAACAAGCTCAGAGAGGGACAGTGATTTGGCTAGAGTCACAGCGGAAGTCGCCTGCTATGGTTCTGCTAATTCTAGAACCAGAGCCAAAACTCCACCATCGTGCCTCATCAAAGACCAGCCATCTCTGATCACAAATAAAATAAAATATAATATTAGGGTACAATTATTTGTTATAAAAAGCAGCATCCATTTAGGAAAAGCTGAGAAGAGAAATAATGTATAAACAAAAAGAATTTTAAAGTTCTAGAAAAATCTAGCAAATTAGTTGAATCACAACCATTTTTTTTTATGACGCAGAGTAAGTTACTTTTTGCATCTGTGATTGTTTCTGGAGCCATTTTGCAGAGATGGAAAAAGCCATGTCAAAACCTGTCTACCAAAGCAAAAAGACCACAGATACTTAAATTACTAGCACATCAAGGCAGCCTGCGACTGAGGGGCTACAGCGCTCACCTCACGGGCATAAACTGGTGGGGGAAGGGACAGATTTTAAAAGTGCGTAGTTGTTCAGGGGAGCGGGGCGGGGAGAATGATAGCGAGGCTCTCTGATTTCATTTGAGCACGTCTTGTTCCCGGGTGCTTGCGCACTCCCTGCCACCCTCCCCGGGTCTAGTCTTGTGGTCTTCAGAATCACTGGTACTTTTCCCATTGGATAAAACGTTGCAAGAATGAGGGTAAACCTAGTTTTCCTCACAGCCAATCGCCCCACAGTTTTCCTCTCATCACTGAGGGGAAGTCAGCCTGATGATTGGTGGGTGCGAAGGGAGCCAATTAGAAAATGATGATGTGTAGTGTTGGCAAGCGGATTGCATGAGAGAAGGCAGGGGTTGAGGGAACGCTCACGCCAGCTCCAAGGCCTGCAGCCAATTGTGGGCAGAACAGACGCCATGCCAGGGAGTGGGCGGGGCCTCGGAGAGTGGCGCTGTGGGAGTAGGGCAGGCGCCGTGGGAGGGGACGTCAGAGCGAGGTGGTGAGCAGAGCTGGTCGCGTGAGGTGTGGCGGCTCCGCTTCAAGTGGGACTGGTGGCCACGGCCTTGTCTGAGAGCAAAAGAGCCAGTGCTTTCTTTGAGTGCGGTCAACATGGACCGCCCGGATGAGGGGCCTCCGGCCAAGACCCCCCGCCTGAGCAGCTCGGAACCCCGTCAGCGCGACCTGCCGCCACCGCCACCCCCACCGCTACTGCGACTGCCCCTGCCTCCACCCCAGCAGCGTCCGAGACCCCAGGAAGAAACCGAGGCTGCACAGGTGCTGGCTGACATGAGGGGGGTGGGCCCCACGCTACCCCCACCACTGCCCTATGTCATTCTCGAGGAAGGGGGGATCCGCGCGTATTTCACCCTGGGTGCTGAGAGTCCCGGATGGGATCACGCGATCGAGTCAGGGTTCGGGGAGGCCCCTTCCACGGGGATCGTGGAAACACTCCCGTCGTCAGAAATCTCTGGGGGAAGCGTGGCTATTGACTTTCAGGTTGCAGAGCCCAGCAGCCTTGGAGAGAAGGCCCTAGAAACCTGTAGCTTAGGAGGGTGGGGGCCCCAGATGTTAGTTGGTCCAAAGAGGAAGGAGGAGGCTATCATCATAGTGGAGGATGAGGATGAGGATGAAAAGGAAAGTGTGAGGAGGAGGCAGCGTCGGCGGTGGAGGAGGAGGAGGAGGAAGCAGAGGAAGGCGAAGGAGATGAGAGAGAGAAGTGCCCAGAGGATGGAAAGCATTCTGCAGGCCCTGGAGAGCATTCAAATGGACCTGGAGGCGGTGAACATCAAGGCAGGCAAGGCCTTCTTGCGTCTCAAACGCAAATTCATCCAGATGCGAAGACCCTTTTTGGAGCGCAGAGACCTCATCATCCAGCATATCCCAGGCTTCTGGGTCAAAGCAGTATCCTTCTCATCAGTATGCATGGGCCAGAAGCCCATGACTAAAGGGGAGATGTGCAGAAGAGAAACGGGGTGTGGGGGAGGGTCAGAAATGGGAATGAATCCCCATTAGAAGATTCTAGAAAGAGCAGAAGAGGGATGGCAAGAGGGCAAAATCGCATTTAAAA